ATTTCCATTTCTATCGCACGATGGAACCACCAGAATTCGTGGTCTCTCTTCAAGCTGGCACGGAGTTTTGCCAGGAGCCCTTCGCGAGTTTCACTGTGTTCGCTACCAGCCGGACTATACCGGCGAGCATCGATAAGTTTCAGAGACTGCGAAGAGACCCAATGTCCAACGTGGCGATTATACTTACCACATGAGGATTTTCTTGCTGCTACTAAGGACTGGTGAATATGAGACCAGTGAGCTTCAATTGTCTCCAGTGAGCGCTTACTCAACTCGCATGACAGGGTACTTTGATAGGCATTCAGAACGGCTGGTTTCGCCAGTTGGCTGTGGTCAATGCGGTCACAACGTCGTCGTGGACATCCGCCAAAGTGCATCCGCAGGTCAGCACATACAAGTGCATGGTCGGTGGCCACGCTTGTGCTCTAAATCCATCGACCGTTCTGGACGCAGCCGCTCAATCAGTAACTTATCGCAATGTGATCGATTTGCGTCCATAGCTGGTTCGAGGCTGGTGGGCGGCAAGTCGCCCTCCAGCGGGTGCTGTGTCGGAAATTAGTGCCCGCAAGAAATAAGCGAGCATCTTCACACAAACGAAGTAACCGCTCATCGTTATCATTACGGGAGCCTACACCATGTTGGCCGCCCAGATGCAAATCGGACAACATGCAACCATGCACTAGGCATTATATACTTCAACGACTAGTATTTGCTGGTTATTGAAAACACCCCATGGTCCGGTTCATCTGGCACTGGTGACACTTTCAAATCGTCTTTTCGTAGATGACGTAACTTTACATGCCGGTCAAACTGGTTTGAACCTTGGTTTGAGGCTGCGCTGATCGACTGGATCCCAATTATTACTCGGATATGCACCGTCACATTGGCTCAGTCCGTGGACCTTTTCCGCTACAACACCCCAACTGGTACTGGTGATCTATTTCCTTACTTTTCATCGATAGGTTGTCTAAAGGGAGTCGTGGAATCCCCCTCAAACAGAGGTACTGTGCAGAATAGAGTGCCAAAGTAAACTATACGGTACAATTTAAACTTTCCTTTCACTTTATTGTAACGTCGACATGGATGCCATCCCAGTAAAGAAAACGCAAAGGAAAAAGCTTGTTAAGATAAAAAGTCATTCAGTTACCCGACAGTAGGCTATATGTTCGCACCACTATTATATTTTAGCCGATGAATACGACTTTGTGTAATGATGCCCTGGAAGGGACATGCGCGTCCAAGGCTCGAATATAGTGAACAACGCTGAACCTTCCCTCCCTGCCTTTTGTTAAATACAATGCACAGTTTTATATCGGTTTCTGCGCTCATTTGGAATTACAGCATTTTAAACAATGAACTTGGCTAGCAACGCATTTGCTGCCAGTGTAATGGGACCCAGTTGGGTTGTAGTAGCATACGACACGAAGTTTTGTGGTCGTTGTATATGGGCTCCATCAGTGGAACATTTGGTGCCGAGGTAATAGAACCCAGATGGGTTGTAATAGCACACCGTTCCAAGTCTCGTTCTCGTTGTATATAGGCTCCATCAGCGGCACATTTTGTGTCAACGTAATAAGACTCAGTTGGTTTGTAATATCATACGGCTCGAAGTCTCGTGCTCGTTGTATATAGGCTCCATCAGTGGCACATTTGGTGCCGATGTAATAGAACCCAGTTGGGTTGTAATAGCATTCGGCTCGAAGTCTCGTGGTCGTTGTATATAAGCTCCATCAGTGGCGCATTTGGTGTCAACGTAATAGGACCCAGTTGGGTTGTAATAGCATATGGCTCGAAGTCTCGTGGCCGTTGTATATAGGCTCCATCAGTGGCACATTTGGTGCCGATGTAAAAGTGGACGGCAGGAATTTTTAATAAATGGGCTCAGAAACGATATGCTTATCTTTTATACCTTGTAGTGAACAATTTCTACTTTAGTTACCAATATTGCATTAGTGTTACGCATATTTAAGGCAAATATACCTGCATGCATTACACATTTCGATGTTTCCCCATCGATAGGTAGAGGCATAGTAACGCCAATTGGATATTAGAAACTTTGCAACACAGCGTGCCCAGCTGCTTGAGTGGACAACAGTTTGCATTCATTTCAAATCCGTTTTTCTGCACATCTCGTCTGTGTTCTGTTTTGCGTATAACAATATCTAGACAAGAGGCCGAGAAGACGCATAAAAGATAATCCACGGACTATTAACGGACGCTTATGCCAACAAGCTTGTTACAAAAGAAAGCTTTTACGGTATACGCTGCGGAAACCCAATGTTCTTAACGGACTTCCAAGACTGCGAATTAGTTAAATGCAGCATCCATGAAAACAGGCGACCTAATTTTGACTTTTAGCCTTATAATGCGCTCACTGTGCAATATTGGACATATGGGTGTGGAAATTTCTTTGTCTAATTAATTTGCCAAATTTGCAGCGTTTGGTTAACCTTATTGCCAAGCATTCGAATCGGCGGCAAACGGTTGATAGCTTCTTAGCACCCTAAAACGCAGTTTTAAGATTACAACAGACTAGAATATCAGAGTCTAGAGGTCAATTGTATCACTCCCGGTTGACCAATCAACAAACGTCACCATCTTTAAAGTACCCCGCTTGGTCTGCGACTACCGGGCAGCCCTATTTGCCACTCCCGTCTTCGAGGCTCCGATTGACGTCCCTCTGTGCTGCGCTCTGGTACTAGATGGCACTAGTTGATGCTGCTCCTCAGATGACAGCTGCTTCTATAAATAGCCTCGAAAATTATCAGGCTGAGCTGGACGCCGCCGGAAACGAGTAACAGAAGTTCCGATCCTTTAGCTTAACTTGTAGTGCATTGGCTTTCGAAAATTCGTATTGTATGCGCTGTGGCGATACCTTTCGCTTCAACGAAAAAGTTGTGCAAGCTAAGGATCAAACTTACCACGTCAAATGTTTTGTGTAACTTACCGTCTAACTGTTTATCCCAGTTTGCAGTTGTTCTCAGTGCTTCCAGCCCTTTCCCGACGGTGTCTTTTACGAAGTAAGCCTCTTCTTTTTCATACTTCTTTTCAGTTCGACGGCAGAAAATACTGCGAACATGATTTTCATGTCCTGTTTGCGCCGTGTTGTGGAAAGTGTGGTATCTTGCTGTATTGTTAGTTACTTTCGCTTAGGATGTTTTATTTCCGGCCGTGTTATCAAAGCCATGAACTGCAATTGGCACCCCGAATGCTTTCGCTGTCAGTCATGCGATGGCTGCCTGACCGATGAGGGTTTTGTAAAACTTCACGGACGGTACTGGTTTTTACCAAAAATGTTTGATCGTTTCTCTAACTCTGCCCTCTGTATACTTTCTGTTTAATGCTTGTGATCGCTACTTAGTTCGACGAGTCAGAAGAATAGCGTGGAACAGTAGCCCTCGGCTTCTAGGCATTTTGCTCGCACTAATTACCGTGACGGCTAACAGTCGCTCCGCCAACACGTACCTTGCGTTTTTGACATGTCCATTCGCCTATTTCAACTGACTCATGATTATTGTTGTTACATTCGAAAGCCCCGTTTCCTCATCGGTGCCTGTAGGCATGTCCATTTTGTCTACCACCTATGTCCGTCGCTCTCGCGGATCAATGTGGCTTTTTCCAGGGTAACCTAATCAGTTACTGTCATAAAATTAAGACCATTTTCTGGTGCAGCGCTGGGTTATTTTTACTTGTATACTCTGCATAGACATAACCTGTGACTACTTGTTTCGCACGGTATTACGCTTCCCCACCACCACATCACGATTTTATCTGACAATTTGCGTACTGCAACTAGATGTTTCCCTACTCTACATCATTATTCGTCTGTTTAATGTCAAACTTGTTCCCTTGGGTAACATTTTTATCTGTTGCTCTCCATCGTTCGGCCAGGCGCATTCAAATTTTAACTGCTGGTATGAGCTATCTGTGGTACCTACTTAGCTGGTCGAGCTTGATTACAGCCATCTTACTACAGTAAGCCAGAGTGCGGATAAAGTAGTTTAACTTGGAACTTCGAGCGTTTCATTTAGACCCTACACACGTAGACAGTCCAACTGTCATCCCCTGCGGAAGTTCACTGGATTAACACTTTGCTCTTTTACGATTATTTTGCATATTCTTCTAACCCTTTGGGACTCGGAACGACGCTTTTTATATGCGTGGTCAACGGCTCATGCCAATGCGCCATGGGTGATGATGGTGGTCCAATTGACTAGGTTACCCCATTCTAGCTCTTCTGTTCCACTGTTGTTGACAATAGCGGCGATAATGACTTAAGTGTTTTTTTATTTTGTCTAGGAAATGTGTTTAACCAATCTTGAGCGGGTTTTACTATTAGCTTGAGACTTAAAGTTCAGTTAGAAAATTTCTGTGCAACTATCGATTTGTGAAATATCGAAAACATTTAGTAGCGGATTTTCAACGGCAGTGTTTGGTCAGTTAATCGTTTATTCTGCTTTGTGTAGGAGTTCGTATTGATGTCATTATTCCCGGGTATAGCATATATCTTTTCCTTTTAGTGCACCGTTTCACAAAAGCACAGGTTTCCGAAATAATCATTAGTACGTGTTTTAAAACACTTCACAGAATCGGATTCTGTTAATCTTCCTGGTCGTGTATCCCATAAATGTACGATACTTTTATGCAATTGATGTGATACCCTATTCATGAATGGGACCCTGAGTTTGTAACGATGTCCTCGAGTGTTACGGGGTTCTATCAGGTGAACTATTGGTTGTAGTATGGGGAATTGATTCAGGTGTTCATTGGTTAGTAGAGAGCAGGATGAAGTTTCTTTGTCAGCTCCGTCACTTTCCGGACATTGCGAGGGTTGCTGGGATCATTGCGGAACAAGGTTCAACAGAAGATCGCTATGCTTGTATTGTGAGCAGCAGAATCCCTGCGTGGGTATCCAACCGTCGTTTGAAACATTCCTCCGTCTCCGCATCGACCACAGCTTCTGGCAAGCTGTTCCAGTCATTCACTACCCGGGTGGATAGGGCCAGATCGGACCGTACACGTAGTCGCCGCGGTTTGAAAAGTTTCCACCGATGGCCCCGAGTTGCACAACTTGTGTTTAGACAAAAGAACGATTGCAACTCACTCCCCAGCTCACCTCGTAGAATACGCCGAGTGAATATCATATCTCCGCGGCGACGACGATAATCCAAAGAGAACAGGTTCAACCGTTGAAGCCGGAAGAGGTAGGATAAGTCCCGAAGCTCTGGAACGGATTTGGATCCATGCTGTTGAACTTTATCGATCATGTCACGTTCGGACTTAGTGAGCGGGTACGCAGCAGGCAATCCGTACTCGAGAACCGGACGTACATGAGAAGCAAACAGTAATCTGAAGAGTGCTGAGGTCAGGCGTGAAAAGACTCTCCGTATAGCGTGAAGTATTCTGTATGCGGATGCGACCCTCTTCCGGGTGTCCTCCATTGATTTGAGATCAGGAGACACAATCACCCCTAGGTCCCTCTCTTGGTTGACATTTCTGAGCAGGAAACCCCCGATATGGTAAGCCCCAAATGGCTCAGGAGCACCGATTGGAAGGATAGCGCATTTGTCATGGTTAATGGGCAACTGCCACTTTAGTGACCAATCGTGGAGCTGATCGAGTGTCGCTTGAAGTATGTCTGCATCTTCCACACTGGATACCTCAATCCACAGCTTCAGATCATCCGCGTAGATTAAGCAGCCGGTCTAAAGTTCGGATGGCAGGTCGTTGATGAAGATATTGAAGAGTTCAGGGCCGAGTACAGAACCCTGGAGGACCCCACTGGTCATGAGAATTTGATCAGAAAGCGCTTCGTTAACTTTGACCCGCATGAAGCGACCTTGCAGGAAATCGGAGACCCATGAAAGAAAATTGCCAGTGACGCCGATTCCCCGGAGTTTGAAGAGGAGCCGCTACTGTGGGATCTTGTCGAAAGCCTTACTGAAATCGACCAACACAGCATCCAGACGCTTACCGGCATCTAAGGATCTTGCCCATTTTTCCGCCACCTGTGGCGCAGACGCGACATTACTCTCGCCCTGAAGGGCAGAGTTTACAATGCAGCCGTCCGTTCAACTCTCCTATATGGCTGTGAAACCTGGCCCATCAGGTCGACAGACATGAAGAGACTCGTCACATTCGATCATCGCTGCCTTCGCAGCTTAGCTCATGTCTGGTGGGAACACCGCGTGAGCAATGAGCGTGTTCGGCGTCGCGTATTTGGTACAGGAAGAGCGAGTGAACCGCTCAGCACGATTATATCACGCACCAGGCTCCGATGGCTGGGCCACGTGTTGCGCATGCCAGCACACCGACTCCCACGACGTGCTTTGTTTACGCGTTGTGGGTGCGGTTGGAAGAGGAGGAGGGGAGGCCAAGTGATGACTTGGTCGAGAGAAATGAAAACCCTCACTTCGAAGTTGGCGTCGGTTGGTGCATCCCGACTGCCTGGTTGGGGTCCTAAGGACGGTGAACACGTTTGGTTGGACACACTTGCTGATATGGCTAGGTGCCGGCCCCAATGGCGTTTGTGTTGTGAGTTCCTTTGTCCATCCCCCTCCTGTTTAGCATCCCCCTCCAACCACGATCTCAATCGTTTGGCATAATATGACTTTCTTTTACGGCAGCCAGCTGTTAGCTCTCCGGAACGATGTCCATCCGTTACTGGGGACTCAGCGGGCGTGCCACTGTTTGTTGTTGTTGTTTTGTTTTTTTCTTCTTTTCTTGCCTTTTGTATTGCGGCACAATAGCTGAGGTGTTTTCCACCTCCAGCTAACGTGTAATGATGATGATGATGATGACCAGCAAATTTGTAGCACATGAACGCGTCCTTCGGAAACCATGTTGGGCATGAGATAGGAACTCCAACTCATCGAGATGTAGGCGAAGGGCCCGTTTCAGAATCCGTTCCATGACTTTGGACAGAATCGAAGTCAAACATATGGGACGATAGCTGGCTGGATTCTGTCGGTTCCCTCCTTTGTAAATGGGTTTAATCGTTCCCATCTTCCAAACAGTTGGAAGCCGCCCGACCTCAAGGGAACGACGGAAAATTTGACATACAGGAGCGGCAATGTGTCCGGCCACGGTCTTAAGGAACAATGGGTGTAAACCACCGGGACCAGGCGAGGAATAAATAAATAAGTAAATAAATAAATAGTATATGCTCGGTAAAACAAGACACACCTGTAAAGGCGTGATCAAACATGCATACAAGCAAAGCTTCTGTGGAATGTTAAATCATTTCGGTTTAATGAAAGGTATAAAAGGGAAGATGTTGTCCGTATGATTGAGCATACTGTCAGGTAATAGTCAGACCCAGGGACACTATGGCGCTCTGGCGCGCAAAAATCCGTCAAAACATAAGTTGGGGGTAATTTCGCCATGTAGTCATCCGTGAGCACAGGAGCCTAAACAAGGTTTTGTTGCAACGAATAACCATTACGAGATAGAGATGATCTGCGCTCCAACAAAGCATTCTTCATAGCAGAATTAGTTGCACAGGGTTGAGGTAGAAGGCTGAGGAATGCGTCAGTTTGTGTGCGTCATTGTGTGTGTCTAGATCAAGTAGAAATGTCATTACATCGTCAGTGGAAACATTCACGTGCTCCAGCAGGGAAGGGGGAGTAGTTGCAACGCTATCTGGGAGTGGCATTTCGGTAGAGTAGACAGAGGGATATTGCTGGGCCAAACGGCTAGCTTTCTCAGCGTCTTCGTAGACTAGGTCCAAATGCTCACAGGGAGACAAGGCAGGGACACCACTTCCAGCTTTAGTGCTTCGTTTGAGGTATGAGAAGAGCGCCTTGGAGTTTGTACTAGAAAGTGCAGCTAATGACAGTTCGTACTATTGGCGTTTCTTGCGTTTTTTATGTTACAAGCATTCCTGACCGTTCTGTAGGTCAGTTCATACTCAGTGGACAGGACAGTGTATAGAGTCCGAGCCTTTCACGTTTTTCATACGGAAACTTTCCTAAACTGGCAATCATTCTGGTTGCGATCTGTTGTATTTTCTCCATCTTTTCCGTTTCTTACCGTGTCAGATAGTAAACTGTTGGACCGTATTCAATTATTGTTCTCCTGAGCGAGGTGCATGTGTGAGGGAAGCTTTCTTGGGACAATGTGGAGAAACTGCGTTGTAATGTCCAGAGCGTACGAAATCCACATGGTTTAATTTCTCTTTACTTGCTAGTGAAATGTCTTGTCGTGAGAGCACTCCTAAATCTGACAGATATGTTGAGGTGGAGCAACCGGCCGTCCAAGGTGTATGACCGTGTGGCTGCACTCCTGGTGATATCAATGAACTCCCACTTGATCACCTTAAGAGGTAGTTGCATCTCGCCGG